CCTCATGAGGTTCACACGGGCCCATGTCTTGAGCTTGTCCCCAGGTCCCTCTGGATGGTGTCCTGTCCCTCAGTCATGTCAGCCGCACCACTCAGCTTGTGTCATCTGCAAACTTGCTGAGGGTGCACATCTTAATGCAACTTAGGCTGTCTTTGGAAGTGACGTGCAGAAATAGCTTTAAGAAGTCAAAATTACTTGTAACAAAGGGTATAGAATTAAAACAAAAATATGCTCAGCCTACCTAAGAGGGAAGAATTTTTGTTTCAGAAACAGCCTTAATTACAGGGTTAAAATATTGTACCCGTGTGAGCATCAGCTCTCCACTATAGAAATGCAATCAACTGGAATACTTTAAACACTGAAATTTTGAGCATCTGCTTGGAGCATATGATGTGGTTCACACTTTCTTCAGTGACAAGACAAAGCAAAAGTATTATAGCAGCTAAATACTTGCACTGTACACTTCTGGGGTGAATGAAATAGATTATCTATCTCAGTCACTGTTACACATGGACAAAACTGCTCTGCCTAGTAGCGGTGAGTTGTAAGCAATAAACATGTATTGAAAATTAAGCTCAGACATTCTGGCCGATTTTACCTCTCTGATGTGGTTGGTTTGTCTAGAAATGGAGCGTCTACTGTTGTCACAGCGATTTTTGGAGGCATTCTTCAAAATGAAGTCAACTGCCTAATATGTGGGACTGAATCTAGAAAGTTTGACCCATTCCTAGGTAAGGAGCCTTTTGCTTTCAAAACACTGGCTGACTTAAGGCAGCAAAATAAATCTGAAGCTTGATATATTTAGATGTCACATGACTGAACCAGCGTTTACCCTGAAAAGATTAGGCATTGTTTTATTCAGCCCTAATTTTTTTTTTATGTTTGTTTTTTCTAGACCTTTCGCTAGATATTCCAAGTCAGTTCAGAAATAAACGTACTAAAAATCAAGAAAATGGACCAATGTGCACACTACGAGGTAAGAGTGCTTAGATAATTAAATCATTGCTGGGACTAAAAGTATAATAGTCTCCAAAGTGTCTATTTCAGGCTTTCACCTAGGGTGTAATTTGATGCCACGTGCCATCTAATTTTGTGAGATTCTGTGGTAGAAGGTGGTGCCAAAATAATGCTCCATGCAGTTTTTTTTACCCCAGTCACTGTGTCTAACATGCTACTATGACAAACTTCAGGAGGTGAGCTAAATACCAACGAGGATTCGAGCAGAGGTTTTTCTTTGTGGTCAGAGTATTTCTAATGTATTACACAGTCTTCCCAGACAACACTCATCTGCATCGTTGCCTGTTGGCATTTGCTAAGGCTCTGTGTCTTTAGAAGTATGTGCCCCTTGCGCATAGAAAGGATGGCTCTTGGATGTTCTGGTTTTTTAAACAACATAAATACAGTCCTGCAAAATTGGGCAGTAGTGCTGTTACTGACCTTGTTTTAAAGGATGTTAATTTTTACACATTTGTGCATATACTTGCTGGAGATTGTGAAATATTAATCAAAACTCCATTATTATTTTCTCTCTGTTCACTTTGTACCTAAAACCAAATCATCTTTAAAAGTTGAATATTCTTTGTTAGAAAGTAATTTAGTTTCTTTTGAAAACAGTTGTGCTGAATGTTGGACAGAATCTTGTTTGAAAGATGAAGATTTCCTGAATGCCTTTTTTTCTCTTGAACTGCTGATAGCTGTGTTTTCAGAAACAGGGAATGCTGCATGTTACAACATGTTATTGTATTAAAACACATTATTACACAGCTTTTTGCTGCACAAGTGTATGTAACAGCTAGAATGTCTGCAGCAGATATGCAGACCTTCTCTATCTTGCTGTACTTGTTGTATTTCATGTTACAAAAATCACTCAATGTCATCTTGAATCAGGTTTCTTTGTGTGGGTGTTCTGCTCTTTTTTAGATTGTCTTCGCAGTTTTACAGACCTGGAAGAACTTGATGAGACAGAGCTGTATATGTGTCACAAATGCAAAAAGAAACAGAAGTCCACCAAAAAATTCTGGATTCAGAAACTACCAAAGGTTCGTATAAGCATGAAAAGTAACAGCATGACAACATGTCAAAGGAAATAACGACTCCACCATTAGTAGACCAACACCTAAGCCTCCCATAGTGCTAGACATCTGCGAGAGCCTAAGTTCAACCTCTTCCTCTAATGCATCTATTTTTGTTATTTTTTTAAAATCCTGTAGGTGCTATGCTTACACTTGAAACGATTTCACTGGACAGCATATCTGAGAAACAAGGTTGATACATATGTTGAATTTCCCTTACGAGGCCTAGACATGAAATGCTACTTGTTAGAGGTATGAAGACTCACCAATACTTTCTGTAGAAATTTGTTCCATGACATACGTCTTTATTACAAATTATAGTAGGTGCTATTGAGCTCTGAAGCATTTTCTGTCTTTTTACCCACAGCCTGAAAACAGTGGCCCAGAAAGCTGCCTGTATGACCTTGCGGCTGTTGTTGTGCATCATGGTTCAGGGTGAGTACGTGGGGTAACTTCTCCCCACTGAAGTACATGCAGAGTTCTGTCCCTAGTGAATGTCTGTATTTTTACTGGTGAAAATAAGCAGTAATTTATAAACCTACATGGAACTAAGCTGAATGAACTTAAGCCAGATCTTTACAGTTATTCCTGTGAATGCCCACTGGCAGTCTTTGGGGGTAATGACTAGAAGTGTGAGACAGAATGAAAATAGTCTAGTGCCTCTAGGAATGGAAAGCTCTAAACCAACAGCGTGAATCAAGGGGCCTTCCAGAAGTTAATGCCTCATTTTGAAATTCTTACTACAAAGCAGAAATGTTTTTTTTCCTCTTTTATTCACTTTGAAAGGCACATGTGCATTTATGCCAAAAGAGCATATGTGCATGTTTGGAACAAATGTAGACTTAAGATTGGCACAGTGAAAGCAATTATCCTGTATTTACCTTCTCTCCTACAGGAATGAACTTCAAAGTGAATGCTAATAGGCATGCCACAAGGCTGGCTAGTGTTCATATTTTGAAGTAAAGAAGTTGCTGGGTGTGTTTTGTTTTGTTTTTTCCTTTTCCTTTTCCCAGCCCTGGACGGATAGGTTCAGAGTAACAGTAGTAGGACAAGACAACCATTTATCCTGAGAGAAACATGTTCTTGTCATTTAGGCAATCACTCTCTGCATGGGAGCAGCGAAAGGAGTTTTCTTAAAGAAACTACACCCCGTTAGTCAAAACCTTGCTGCTACCTGAATTTACTTCAAAGATACGAAACAAAAAGTTCTGTCCAGAAAGCCTCTCCTTTGGCTTTCTCTAGAGGAGTGGTCTAGACTCTTAGAAAGAATCTGACTACTAAAGGCAGCCCTTGTAGCACCACAGTGCATCTGACTGGTGCTTCAAAGTCTTAGGAAAAATACATGGACAGCAAAGGAAAGCTGGTCGTGATTAGAGTGGAATTAGATGGTTGGAAACATTGAGTATGTGCTGTAACATGTAAGCAAGCAAAAGCAGGCCTTATCTGGGTGTGACAGGGCAATGAAAATGGATGGGTTTGTAGTTCTGGTATGTTAGGTTCAAGAAATACGGCTCCAGGACATGGATCTGTTTAAGATGAGCTTGAAAAATTTTCTTCTTGGTATTCTGGGATTAGTTTTGCTGTGAGTGCTTTTGACTATATTTAGCCTATGTGAGTCTCTCTAGACCTAAACAGGGAACGTTTCTGAAAATATAGTAAAATTTTTATAGCTAATGCTTGAATAATAACAGAGAATAGACTTGATTTTTATGTAGGCAAACATGGAAGTTCAGTGTTGCAAGAAGCCTTGCTTGCACAAAAACTATGGGATGCTAATAAGTTTATATAAAAAAGCCTTTCAACTCATCCCTGTAAGTGATTATTTTACTTAACGTAAAACTTTGAGCCCCACAGATTGAGAAGGGAAGCATCTTACCAACTGTTGTGGAGGGCTGCCAGTTCCCTTCTTCCTCTGGTTCCTGGAAGTCACTTAGCCCTAATAGAAAATGCATCAGGGAATGAGGTGGTCTGTCTCCTCCTGATTGTCCTTTCTTTCCCCACCTCCCCCCTGCTGACAGCGTTGGCTCTGGACATTACACTGCATACGCAGCTCATGAAGGCCGTTGGTTCCATTTCAACGACAGTACTGTAACTTTGACCGACGAGGAGACTGTGGTAAAGGCCAAGGCCTACATCCTCTTCTACGTGGAACGGCAAGCCAAATCTGGATCAGATAAACTTTAATACCTCCTTTTAATTCTCACTTATCAAGTTCACCAGACAAAACATTTCCATTTTTCCATAAATACTTGATCCAAGACTATTAATTTCATTGTGCACTTTTCAATTTCCTCTTGTGGGTTTTAGTTTTGTTGTGTCAATGGTAGCATTTGACTTACTGAACTTGGACACAAACTAACTTTTTTTTTTAGTTATACCAGAAAACCTCAGCAGATTTTGATTTGCTGCTTTAGTTGTGATAACTCAATTTTTATATATATAGTTTCATGAAATACTTAGTTATTTGACTTTTTTATATTAATGTTTTCAGTTCTCACTTTCTAAAGGCACATTTACATCAGAGAAGCTTTCTGTCCTCCTTACGAGCAAGATAAATGTGCTTCTGATTATGAAGAGCAATACAACTTCAGGCTGTTCTCACAGCTGTTACGTAGATATGATTTAATCTCTTTAAATCAAGGAATTGTTTGCACGTACTATTTTCCCTCGTGCAAGAAACTAAACAGCGACCTCTGAACAATCATTCTTTGTCTGCAGAAGAGAGGAGATGTGGCATCATTAAATAGACAGGTAATTGCTGCTATATTGGTGTGTATTCAGGCTGCTGACTTTCAGGAATCATTGTAAATAAACAGTTGGTTCAATTGTATCTATACTGCAATTTAATTCAAGTATTCCTCACATATGCTCTGCCCTTCCCCCTTCAAATTTAAAAAAATTATCTTAAAATATATACATGTCTAAATTGTGTTGAGATTTATGTTTTTTTAACCAAACCTGAATTGCCTTAGACATCTCTTGTTTGACTGTCATCCTGAAATTTGATCATGAATGCTTCCTTGCTTGAAAACTTGCGGGACTTCCTGGCAGTGGGACCCCAACCCTCCTTCCTGGTGGGAATTGGGAGTACAGCCCCAAAGTTTGGGGTTTGTGAGAACACTCTTAGGTCTAAATATAGCTCCTGTCCACGAAATGCCTGTAGTTCACTTAAAACTGAAAGGAAGGGGATGGTGTTCCAGATGCTCCGCATGACGATTGTTTTACCAGTTCAAATGCAAACTAAAGGGAAGATGCTCCGTTTCACAGCACAGCCTGCCTGCTGGGAGTTGATGAGCAGGACTGCTTGTTGACTGGAGCAGACTCGGGTAGTTGTACTATTTACGCATTGGCCCAGTGTGGGATCTTTATTTATGGTCTCTAGACGAACACTGGAGGCATGATACTTCGCTATGTAAAGGAGGAAGACTTCTATTAAAAACAAAAAAGGAATTTTAGGTGTACTGCTGTTCTGGAGAGTGGAAGTCCGCTAATAAGATTTAAAAAAGGTGGACAGGAAAACCAATATTGCAAAAGCCCGTTTGAAATCTGAAATTTGACGAATGCTACATTTCAGTTCTCTTCCCCCAGCCCACCCTTTCGAGCTAGCCCCCGTGTGCCTAGCAAGGAACTGGACACTCCTAAAATCTGAAAAGCATGGTAGTAAGAGTAGAAGTTACTTCATGTAGAGTCACACAATCAAACACTGCCTTTTAGTTGTGATAAGAGTAAAATATAGTAGTCTGAAAACACACAAGAACTCAAGTAAAATGTGATTACCCTTTTTAGTTAATGCTTCTGAAAGCCATCATAGTACACAGTAAAAATTTCCCTACAGACTGTGCCATCGCTCAACCTGCTGCACATGGAGTACGCATCAATTTCCTTGCTGTAGGTTACCTGCTAGCTGTGCAAGTATAAAGAGAAATCATAATCAGGTGTTTTTTAAAATGTCATTCTTCATAGCTTTTTCACACCATCTTAGACCAGGAAAGAGAGAAATTGGCTTAATATAAAACTGCAGAAAGCATTCAGCATTGCTAATGGTGTTTGACTATGTAAGCTGTACACTAGTTAAAACCTATTGTGATTATTGATACATTAAGTGACATACATAAGGATGTCTTCTTTAACTTAAGTTGAACAATAAATAGAACTATTCATTGCTTTAAATTGTAGATAGCTTGTCACCTACCGTTTCTCCATTTCTTGCAACCAGAGCTTTTCTTTTAATCAGAAGAGGTAGCTGTTATCATTTATACAGGCAGAAAAAGGTATTTGACAGACTTCATTGGTGTGCCGGGCAAGTGAAGTATCTTATCACATTGTTACCCTGAAGGGCAGCCTTACCGCTCGCAGTTAGTTGGGGAGTTAAGCAGATTCCATCTAGAGCTGCATTTTGCCTGCACACTACTTGGATTGGATTGCTTTAGAATTTTAGTTTTGAGAATACAAAGCTTAAAATACACAACTACCTATGGGCCAGAAGCAGTTTAACTTACAGTAGTCAGGTGTATGCAGTGTTCTCGCAAACCAGTGATGTAAATGTGCCTTTTTGTATTTTTAGAAACTGAAATTTGTAATCTTCAGCAACATTCACTTACTTTAAGCAGCTTTTACTTCTCCAGTTAATTTTTGGGGTCAGAGTTATGTTCTTCACTTCAGTATTTCCTTTCAGTAACATTTGCTCTGTAACATTAAGGTCTTGGGCAATGGTATCCAGCATGGTCCATTTGAGACACGGCCATGAGAACACAATGCAATCACGTCAGTCTTGTTCTTGCAGCAGGTGGAATAAGGACTCAGCCATATGCTTTGCTGGAACAAGTACATTGTAAATCCTTTCCTAATTTAACTTTCTCCCACTGCAAACCCAGATGGACACTATGAACAGTTTGTTGTGGCAACACAAGTATTTCTCTTCCTGGTGGAGAACTTCGCTTATCCACTGTATTCTATTCAGTGTGGTGTCAAAAAAAAAAAAAAAAGAAAAAAAAGAAAAAAAGTAACTGAGCACTGAACCAGTAACATATACTGCACCTGGCCTAGTATTACATTTTTAATCTTACTTGTATATCCTATATTTATCTACTAGCTTGTGGGGGGGGGAATATATCTCATTTCATTTAAGCCAAATGTTTCTTTTCTACTTACTGCTGATCATAGTACACACTAACTGGCAAGAATTTTTTTCTTGCTTGTGACCAGTCTGCAAGCAACAACTGCTCTCTACAGTTCAAAGACTTGCATATTTTTCACCAAAATTTGTCTGATCAAAGGTTGTCCTTTTGTTAGTAATTGTTCAGCCATGTATACAACTGGAGACAAGATTTATGTAAAACAAAGCAAAATGTGCAGCTCTCCGAATACTTCTGCTTTAGTGTGTTGTATAGGGAGCTGCTAAGTGCAGCACTATGCGAAACTCTAAGGCACCTACGAAGAGAGCTCCTTCTCAGAAGGTGCTTGCCAGCTGGTAACAGATGTCAGCCTGAGAGGAGAGTTTTAAAACTTTCCGACAGCCAGGGACAGTGGACTTTTATCAAAAGCAGGAGGCTGTTTTATAAGGATTTTGCTAAATCAATGGAAAGCATAACACGTGGTGTTCAAAAGTTTCCCCAGCATTTCATTACTGATGTGTCTGTGTCTAACTGATGAGGTAATCAGCACCTTGAAAACTGATTCCAATGTGCTTTAGGATATCCTCACATACTGTAGTGCCATAGTTGTAATTGTTTACCATTAAAATTAGTGTGTAATTTTCAGTGAGGATTACTGACTCTGCTCATCTTGTGTGTTTCTAGAGCATTTCCGTTTGAATGTGAATTATATCTCATTCACGCAGTGTGTTTATGGAAAATGTGCCATTAAAGTGTCTCCTTTCCTTAGAAAATGAAACTCCTCTTGTCCTTCTACAGGCTTGCAGAATATCGTTAGTGTAAATCCTTTGAACACGGATGGCAGAGTATTTTAACTTGTTCTGGGGAAAACAAAATAAAGCAACTTGAAGTGTTCCCACTATTTAACACCTCTACCACAACTCAGCATCTAAACCCAAAGAGGACCTGCAGTTCAATTTTAAAGGGCCTTGTCACCCAACAGCTGTTAACTTTTATGTCAGATTGTGGTGTGTGTCGTCCATCCTAGCAATGGCAACCTTGTCATTCACATTTGCTTGTTTGTTGTTTTTTTTTTTTTTTTATAAATAATAATCCTGTGTTTATTACAACTCTGAGCAGTCTTGACTCTTTAAACCTGCTCAAAAATGAAGGTAAATTCTGAAAAGGATGAAGGGACAGAGTGAGAGTTGAAAATGCTAGTATGAGAACAAAGAAGAACAACTGCTGGCACACCATTTAAGCTGCTGTTTTCCAGTGACTGGCTTACCTGGTATGTGAAATCACCTACTCTTCTTGTCCCTTTCGTGGCTTCATGAAGTACTCATGCCACTGTCCATAGCCTGTTGCTGAGCGTGGGTGGGGAAGAGGAAGCTCCTCATTTCAAGGAAAATATTAAATGACAAAGGGTATGAAACCAAAAAGACTAGCAACTGTTAAGCACAGCTTACTGTATAGAATAGAAAATTACTAAAGAATTAAACAGATCCACATTTGCCATTTTTTTGAGTCACTGTGTGTAGGCATCCACATTACTCAAGCACAGATAAGAAGCTAGAAGAACATAAGAAGCTAAAATAATTGTTGCAGACTGCAAATGAATTTCAAATCTTGTTTTTCAGAGTTGAATTTCAAACTGCATTCTCAGGGTAAGAGGGAAAAGATGAATCTTGGTCCCACTCAACCCTGTCATATATTGAAACAAACCCAACTGAAATGCATAGGTACATAAAATCTTCCAGGTACTAAAAATGTGCAAGCCACTTCAAAAATTGCTGCAGGGCTGTTTTGCTGTTAATATCTACTAATTAGTCGAATGTATTATTTTCCTGTATTAACACCAGACAGAAGATGGGCATAAAATACCTTGATCTCGAGCATTTTTATTTTTGTAACATGAACATTGTAGGGCTGTTCACTGTTGCTTTTAATTCCAACCTGCCACTTGCTGTAGCTTTATTTTTCGTCTAGGAGAGACTTTCTGCTACAGTTTCTCTCATTACTGGAAAACAAACACTTTTATTCCTAAAACCAATTCTATGTATCCTTTTCCTACTTGTAAAACTTGTAAAACTAAAGCTAATAGAAGACATCTATTAAAAGCACAAGCCTCCAAGCAGCTAAACATAGGCTTGCTGTTCCATGCATGTCTTCCTGTGTATCACTACTTTTCTCACACAAAAGGTGGGGAAACAGCTAGCTTTGTTTATTCAAATAACAGTGTGCAGGAAACTGCCCATAAGTCTGAGGCTTGTAAACTGAAGCTGCAGACTTCGCGTGTGTGCGCGCTTTAAAGCATCCAGGAATTTTTCAACTCATTTTACAAGCTGTTTGTGAAAGTTCATTATCCAGTATAACAGTCCTTGAACATGAAACAAAAGTGCAACCTTAGGAAAAAATCGATGAACAAATCAAGGCTAAAATTGTTGTACACTGCAAAAACAAACTTCCACTCGGAAGGCCAAATCCTCCAAACTCAAGAGGCTGGCAAAGCTACTCCTTGCAGCTGTAGCTACACCCCCTGCCCCCACCCCCAGTTCAGTAACTCAGCGCAAGAACTTCACAAGTGCCTAAAAGGAAAGAAATCCCTTTTAAGGAAGCATTTCATGACAGTCAAGTGCTGCTATTCTACATGCCCATTCCATTCCCTTGTAGAAACAGAACAAGAGTTTCATCCATGCGTGTTTCTTTTCCTTACCCTGTTCTTAGCTTCTGCACCAGTTGTTCGCCAAAAATAAACACCATTCCACAACCATATATGTGCAACAGCCTTCTGGTGATTCTGAGCCCTCTCCAGCACTGCCGTTATTCCACAAGGCCAAGAGACTGTCGTCTTTCTAACACGCTCTGACGGGCTATGCATATAACCCAGCTGAATCGGGAATGCCTTTTACATCTATTTTCTTTTCTGGACAAAAATAGTAGGAAAAGTTTAGCAAAAACATGTCACAAGTTGCTAGAAGTGTTTCAGGATCCTTTACTGTGGTCTTTGTTGAACTTTCATTCTCCAGCGGAACTAAAGAAGGATAATTTTCTCCTGGGACCTGCTTTAAAATACTTATCCATCTGCTGGTATTCAGAGAGAGTCAAGGTGTGTAACATTGAGGACTGGATGAAAAACAGTTTCCAGAAAGACTTCTGTAACAGGCATGAAAACACTGTCAATGATTTTTTACTAGAAGTTTGCAACAGGTACGTTCTTTGGGTGTGAAATTCTACATCTATTGTAAAGGTTAACTGCCTTGAAATGAGACAATTGAGAGCTATTTACTCTACTGCATACATCCTACCTGAAATGGAGCATTAAGTATGTGAGTGCTTTGACTTTGCAGTCTTAATACAGTGTTAAGTTGGTTTTGTAGTGGCAATAGCATATACTTCATATTGACTTTCCTTAGGCCTATTTTTTCCTTCTTTTTTTTGAAGAATAAATAATTAATATAGGAGAGTGCAATACTGCCTACTAAACTGCTGCTTAACTGAAACGTACCATTCTGGCAGTGCAAAGCATTTTCCTGGGGGGAAGGGCTAGAGGAAAGACGCAATTTCAAATAGTGGATAGTGAATAGACATAATCATAACAAAACCAAGTTAATTAAACATGTTACTAAACACCAAATTTGTTTCATTCTAAGAAATACGTATTACTTTTATACTGAAATTTAACTCTTATCTAAGCTTTTTATAAACTACAGTAAAGGAAAAGAAATACCACTATGGAAAAGCAGCTCTGGGTGCACGCCATTTCTTGTAACAGCTTTACTGCTATAAAGCAGCGCTGAGAAAAAAAAGTTGAATTACATTAGGAGGAGCAAATGGGGTAGAGCCAATCCTAGTGTTTTAGCAACACTGAGGATGGCTGTGGTCCTAGATTAGAGCTGAAAGGGGCACGTCTGTGCCTATCCTGAAATGGCGCACCTTTGTGCCGCAGCCAGCCCTCAGCTTTGTGCCACAACATGGAAGGCAAAAAGTTCTATTTGGAACTAACAATTTAAAAACCCAACAAATTACAGGATACTGACAGGACACAGTGTCTCGGTGAGAACCAGCAACAGTGCAGTCTCAAAACAAGGACTGAAACATAGGTCCAAAACAGAAGGTTAAGTTGCAAGTACAGAATTTCAGAAGTAACTGTTCTAGAAAAACTGATAAAAGATTTGGATTAATTAGCGAAGTATCATTAGGAAGCACATCTGTGCCTACAGAGGAGGGTGTAGGAGGAAGTATTCTCTCATTTTGGCACTGGAATGTCTACCATGAGGCCACACTTAACTATTTCCATTGTTTTGCCATCACAAATTAGGATTCAGAAAGAGGACACAAGACCACAGCTCTGCAGAAATAGTTTAAGTGCCTTTCTCCTTTGCAGAATCCATAACCACAAACCGGTTGCTGGACAAAATTCAAAGCAAAGCCTGAGTAGTAAGCAATCTCAAAGTCCATAAAAATTCAGCAAACGCCTTTCAGACTTACATGGATTCGCTTCCACAAATTAAACTGAACTCTTAAAAATGACAGTTTATATTGACACTCTCCCTGCCTCCCACCTCATCTATTTTAGCCCTCCTAAGACAAGTTCCTGCCTTTTTTTGCAGCAACCCATTGAAAGCATTTCCATCCGAACAAAATTCCTGGCATTCTGTGCAAAGAAAAATGCAACTTAAACAAAGATACAGCTTTTCTCCCTGAGTTTGGAGTACTTTTATTCTGTTGTGACGAAGCCACAATAGATGGCAGGTTGGAGCCTTTCTTGACCTCGCCTGCTTTAAAACATCTGTTTTTCTAACTCTTCACAAGTGTAAAGGAAAAGATCATGCAGCTGACATGATCTCATCTTATTACCTCTGCTCAAAAGGTGAAGTCAAGCAGCAGCGGGGGGATGGGGTGGGGTGTAAAGAAAGAGGAATGTACTATGTACCAGTTTTTAAGGACAAAAGAAAATGCTGCAGTGATGGCAGAGCCCCTTGTTTGCCCCCACTGCTGTTGTACACCTAAAACCCTGATACAGGCTCTAAGCACTAATCTTTACATGGAAGTGTTTACGGACACATTACAGTTCTTACAGGATGGAGGCAGGCTAATAGTTCTGTCCAAAGGTCTCACAAGGTCAACATCAGCATTGCTGTAATCATTTTTGCCCACAACAACAGAGCCTAAAGAAGTCCTGTGCTAATAGAGAAACATGAAGCTGCACTGAGCTAAACTGATGGATAGCTGAACTGCTGCTCCCTGGAGAGAGGTGTAAGCCAGAAACCAAACACTTTGTACAAAAGGCTTTGCAGGTTGGTGCACAAGAGTCCTTGCAAATATGCCTGGTCAGTACAACAGCTAGTAATAACTGGTCTGCTCCAGTTTTCTGCACAAGGACATTTAGTATAAGTCATCAACACACTGACTTGGAACAGGCCTTTTCTGTACTCTCCCAGGTCTTCCCATGCAACAAAAAGCAAGCTTTTTTAATTTGCTGCATCATTGTTTAACGGTAGAGTTCTTGCCAGTTTCAATGATTTGAAGGAAGGTTTAAGAGTTGTGTGGGGTTCAAACATCAACACTCTTGGGCAGTAGCTGGCACCTATTCAGTAAATCCAAGGAGCTGAAATACACCCATTAATCCCCATAAAATCAAGAGTGGGAGTGTCTTACTTGCACATGCTCAGCATGTCTACACAGCAGCCTCTTCACTCAATTGACCTCAAATTCATCCTGACTTGAATCTCCTCTCTACTGGGTCTTCATTCGCTGCGCTTGGAAAAGTGCAGCACCATGCAACTCCGTAAGAAAAAACAACGCAGCTGCAGCTTAAATAGGCACTCGCATCCCCTTCTCCACTATGCCAACTGAGCTATAGATGTTGCTACCAACAAAAAAAGCAAAGAAGGTAAGTTTTGCGATTGGTAAAGCTGAGCATTAAGAACTACATTTCTCCCCACCTACTCATGCTTTCTTACCCCTCCTGATGGAAGAGGAGGTATTTTTCTAACTTTCATATTTATTCTTGACAATACTAGCTTCTCCAAGCTCTATTATTTATTTTTCCCCTCATCTCACCTGTAATGATGATGTTTTCAGATGTCCAAACCTGCTATCTCTGACCCTCTCTGGATGCGGCCATGTTACAGACGATTGCATCTTGCTTCTTCTGAAGAACTGCCCAAACCTCAAGACACTCAAACTGGAAAACTGCGTGCGGATCACTGACCAGACACTAGAAGCAGTAACCCTCTATGGGGGATCACTGCAAAGGCTCCACGTGGATTTCTGCCGGAACATAACTCAAACTGGTCTAGAGAGAGTCAGGGAAAAATGTCCTTCGGTAATGCTGAGAGCAGAGAGAAGTGCTAACATGATTCCAGACAATAAGCCAGAAAAAAAGTTGATGCTTGAAAAAGCATCAAGAAAATTGGTTCAGCTTTAAGTGCAACAAATTGCATAACCTTAGTCAATGTGGATATTTTGCTTCACTTCCACTCTCCTCTTGGGTAGCATTGCTCCAATGAACTGCGGCTACTTTCCTGCACTCTGGTTTAAGTCCAAACAAATGGTTGATATGTTTTGTAAAGGCTGCACTGGGAAAAGGCATGCATCTCCACCAGGACAGTCTTAAGGAAAAAACCTGTTTGCTCTCTGTTGTTCCTTGAAACTGGAAAACCCTGCATTGCTGTCACAAAATGCTAGACCCGATGAAGGCTGAAAACTGCAATTTTCATACCTTCTTGTCAACGGATGAGTGGAACGCACCTCACTCAGAAGAGAGAAGCAGAACCATGTTTTATTGAGGTAAAATAATAATTTGACAGAGTTCAATAAATTCAATGGAATTTAACAAAGTTTAACAGTGGTTTGACAAGGTTCAATAAGTTTGATGGCAAGGTTCACCTTATTAATTACTGCATGGAAGAAACAAAGGAAAATTGAGTTAGAATCAAGTTAGAATGATTCACACAGAGACCAGAGATGTAAAGAGTAAGGAGGACCCTCCCGTTGAGTCACGAGGTTCAGAGTGGACCGCCTTGCTTTCTGAACTCCTTATGTAATGGGAAAGGGCATAAAGCCGCAGCAGATAGAGCCTGGGTAATTGTATGATATACACAAATTTCAGGGAACGAGTGATTAACAAATTTCTGTAAAGGATATATGCATATGGTCATTCCATCCGCTAAGGGTGATAACCACACCATGTAAGATCTTTCTAGCAAAAGCAGAGCACCTGACAACCATTACTTCCTCAGTGATTAACATTTGTAGCTGATTTGTCAGGCTTATTTATTAAATGAGGGATGCATGGCAATGCGTGCAAAACACAGTTTGACCCTTTGCATAACGTACTTTGACAAGATACACTTTATTTTTTAAAGTTGACATTAAAGGAAGCGCAATGTGAACAAATGCTAGTTTACATAACTAACCTACAGGAAAAGACAGTAATTTACAACCTGTAGCTTTAAATGCTGAATTAGGAACACACTACAGTAGACATCTACAGTAAACACCTGTTTCTCACTGCAAAGTACAAACCAAATAGCTATTTTCATCCCAAACCACAAGGCTGTCACTCTCCTGCATGCTGCTCTGCTACATGGAAGCAAAACATTTTTTTTATGAAGGGTTGTTAATGGCATTGTCTACAAAATTTGACACCACAGGTTGGTAGAGTTTTATTCTGCTGTATAAAATTTGCCTTGATACAACATGCTGGGATTTGATTGTGGTATTGAGTACTCGGGACTGGTAACACCACGTTCCAAGACTTGCCTGAGGAAAGGTAAACATTTCTGAGTGCCACCTCACTGTGTCAACTGTACTGCAGTTACCTGTCAAAGTTTTACTTGTTGAGTCTGTCTCAGTATAACAATACAGAAAAATAATTGTGATCACCTAGTTTGAATTATTCAGGTTTTTGTTTGAACTACAGCATGCTTTCTTAAAAAGCACCCTGTCTCAAACCCTGTGCTTTACTCTATGTGGAAGCATGTCTTCAAATTCTGCTTTCCATTATTTTCCATTTTGTTCAGCAATTCTGACATGAATTTAGAATTCTTACTCCTAGAGAGCACACCATAATATATAAGCCTGCCCATTCTTGCTGCCTCTGCAGCTGAACTTGTATTTACCTTAAATCTCTCCCCCATTCAATCCACTGAAGAACTTTATGCTTAGAAAGAATGACAGAAGGTTAAATCTGGCTATCGATAACAGTTTCTCCTAGAGGACCAGATGTCAGTTCAGCTTAGACGTCAAACAGAAGGCTGCATACAGACCAGTTGGACAAACTCTACGCATCCTGAATAGTTCCAGCTTAAATCACAATGAAGTACAGCAGTTACGATTTCATTTTAAATTAAAACCTTACACAGAGCAGGAGTACCTGAGTGTTTGTGTCCTTAAAATTAAAGCAAATTTAGAAATACTAGCTTTTGGAAATACTGGTCTGTCCCACAAAGAGAGTCAACATTTCTGTTCCATTACATAACAATTACTCAAGACTTTGTCACTACAGCAATCTGTGCAAGCCTGTTTCTCATTTACATAAGGGGCTCTGCAATTGTTGATAATTAATCTTACTGCCCTGGTAACAGACCACTGATGAAATCTGCTAGCTAACACCACAGGAACTGGAACTTGCATCACTGGAATTCAAGTGTATCAAGGCTATCATGCTTTAAAATAATCTGATAGCTTTGTTGCTTTTTAACAGTTGTATCTACAGGTATAGCTTTGCAGACTTACTACTTGTCTGCATTTTAATCTTTTATATAACTGGAAGACTACAAGAGCTAGCTTTTCCTCTAAGGAACAGAATTTGTGACTTCTTAAATTGCTATTTAACAAATTATTAAATGTGGTCACAAATATCTAACATGATATATGTTTTTCTTTAAATTTAGAGTACCTCTCTAAAACAAAAAGAATGTGTGAAAAACTACTATTGAAATAAAGCAGACCTTTTCCCCCTCTCATTGGCATCTAAACTGTAGAAAAAAGTTCTGAAGGTAGGCCTCAATTACTTAGGAATAACTGGTTTGATTTTCCAATTTCTCACTGTATTCTTTTTACAATACTGTTGCTCCTTTTACTAAAGCTATGTGGAGAAAATGCTTGGGGTGTCGTAATGGAGAACTTGGCTCTGATGCCTCAGGTAGTCTTGAAAGATTTATTTCAACTGATACATTGCCTTTCGTTCATGTTTGAACAGAAAGAAAGGAAACATGCTATCAAAATTCCACTTGAAGCCAATTTTTACTGCAAGAATAGTACTGTAAAATTGTATTTCCAAATCAGTTTCTCTAGGAAGGTTAAGTTTCAATCTCAGCAGAAATATTTTAATAGACTACACTCCTAGGGCTTATTCTTTCCTCTGCAAGAACTGAGCAGCTATAAACTCCTGAAAACATTCTTTATGTGGTGCATCAAAAATGGAAAGAGGACTTTACACCTCTCAACATAAGTGAATATACTTACTCCTCCTTTCCATCCTGGTTAATTGATCCACAGATATCCTTTGGTACTCTCTAATTTGGCTGAGCTAAGAAATAGATCACAGCATTACAGAAACTTAGTCAAACAGAGCTGAAATTCCAAAGAAGTACTTGATCTGTATGAGTATGCGTAAGAAACACTCACCCAGAAGACAAATAAAGAAAGTAATTTCATTATTACATCTTCACAACTTAGAGATATTTAACGGCATGACACTGCAACGTTCTAGTCTTTTATTAACTCATTCCTAAAATTTAAGTAGGACCCTTATGCACTACAAAGTAAGGAACAAAACTGGAAGCACAGACAGGAAGGACAAACAGCAATCCTAAAATAGCATTTACAACTTGGAAAGGAGATTCTTGGGCTGAACAAACTTACTGTGATGTGGAAATTGGCATGTTGACACAATTCCTACCTTGGATACACAACTGGTGAAAAAACACCAGTTTCACATATTGCTCACAAGCCAAAACAAGGTAGGAATTCTATATAGTCACATTAGTAACCGAAGACCTTCTTTTTACGCCAGCTCTCTAAGCGCTCTGTGATGAAAGATACATCTCTGTAGATGTAACACCTAACAGCTTTTCAAGTAGCTACAAGATATGAAAGCGGGTTGGCATCTGTCTACATGGTATTTATGCCTTTTTGCCAGTTTTCTATCAGGACTGTTTCAGGGGGGGTGGCAGGGGGCGGGAAGGGAAGGTGGTGGTGTGGTTTTTGTGGTTTTTTACTTTACAGAGCTAAAAAGGGCCTTGGAACACTCTCCCACTTGGGTTTTTTGCCTATTTGTGTACAAATGCTCAAAGTCATATTACTTAGCTCTTCCCCTCCTTGAATGGGGATATTTGTTCATGACGTAGTAAAATTTTAACACAGCTGATAAATTTTTCAGCATCAATAATAAATGTTCTTACTTAGCAATCCAATTTGAAAATTGAGTATATAATGATTACATTTTACTTAGGGTATTATGTAAGGATGGAAGCATGTTAACAGTTTTCTTTAGTTCCAAGCCATTTCAGTTCCGTCAAAGTTCTCTTAACATTACTGAAACATTTTTTACTCTTCACAGACTCTAACTCTAACTTACCAGGTACGGAGGGAGGAAGGCTTGTTATCTATCATTTTATGAAAGTACTAAAAGGAGGGTGACATAAACCAAGATGCCTACTTGGAAGCTGCATCAGGTTATCAAATGCAAGTGGCAAACAAGACTTCATTATCCAAAGTTTGTGCCTTTTCCTACACAATAGGGGAAGAGCAACATCCAGAAGACCCTTCAGATTTCCATTGTGGTAACACAGCTCAGCTTGGCAATAAGGTAAAAGGAAATTAAATTAAGTCCTGCAGCAGTGGTGGTTTTTTTGCCATTAAACTTCATCACCCAGTCAAAAGGGCTAAATGACAGATCTAAATCAAAATTCCAGACCTGACCTGATCACTTGCTCGCATCTTCTCTGGAGAATACTACTGTTCAAGAACACATTCTGCTCTTACCAGTCCCCTCTAAGCATGACAGACACGCATTCCCCCTACCGCTACATTCCAGCTCTGTCAGATGAACCAATACTACTACCGCTAGCTCCAGAAAGAGTGAGGCTTCACCCAGTTAAAGGAACTTGCCTACCTCTAGTCTCGGGGACTGGCTGTTCATCTTCTCTCTGTAGTAGTGTGCCTACCTGTTTCAAAGGGCTATCCAGCTGTCTGATAGCCTGATAGCCCAAAAGGCTGGGGATGTATTTCCTAGGTGGGAAAGAAAAAAAAAAGTAGGAAAAAGCAATTGGAAATACCAGAGGTGGTAGAGAAAAAATTACTTTATCCCAGGGTAAAAACAGGATAAGAAACAGAAATTATGGGCTTCAAGAAGCAACAGCCTTATAAACCAGAGAGAGTGAGTGCTTCTTGAGAGTTATCTGAGGTGTAAGGAAAAGG